GAACCCTAACGTTGTAATCCATGAGCAAAACCTTGTAAATTGTTACCAAAAACTTATAAGTTACGAGTTTAGGGATTCTTTTTACAATGTTTTGGTACCCTCGTATCCCAAAATTGTAAAATCAGCCCTTAATCTTGTAAACCCTCATTTTACTAGAATAAGGACCCAAGTTACATCCTCATGGTCCGGAGTTATCAATTCCTTGTAATGTGGATCCATATCCTTGTAAATGAGTATTTACAACATTATGGATTAGGTGAACCCTAATGTTGTAATCATGGTTCAAAAATTTGTAAACTGCTACCCAAATCTTGTAACTTATAAGTTTTAAGATCCTCTTACAATGTTATGGTATTCTCATATCCAAACTACTGTAAATCACTATCCAATCATATGTCAATTGCCAAACAGGAAGGGCATAATTGCATGTTAAAAAAGTGGAAACTTGATAACTTGTATAACCGGTAACCAATTTTTTTTAAAATCTGGGAGCATCATAAAGGACAAATGGTGCATGGGTGCACCTGGTGCACTGTAGAAGGTGCCGTCTCGGACAAATGGTGCATGGGTGCACCTGGTGCACTGTAGAAAGTGCCCAAGGTCTCGGATGTACAAGAAGGTCAAATATATGGAGATTATCTGGTGAGTTCATTGAGGGGAAACTTATGGGGGAAGGCACACATTGAAACTACAAAGATTTGAAGTCAACGAAGCAAAGGATCCGCATCTATTTGAAAGGGAAAGCCAGAAAAAGAAAATTAAATAAAGTTTTTCATGATGACTTTGAGTGGGGCTTGTTATTCAAATACGAAATTGCATCAAGCATTTGTGGGTCCTTTAGATTTTTTTAGGTGTTAACACTATCAACCGTTGGATTAATCCAATGGCTGTCATGAATTTGGAGCTCACAGGCACATAAAAGCGTTCCTTCACGTGACCTGGTTGTATTCGTGCTTTTTTTTAGTCCAATATATATATGATGGATGCAGTTTTTTTCATCAATGAGGAATATGAAATTCAAATTTGGAGCATCTTCACGAGAAAGAAAAGTATCACTAAATTAATAACTCGTATGTAAATATACATACAATTTAAAAATTATAACAACACAAAAAGAAATTTGCACTATACTCTATGCTTTATGGAGTTTAATATTATTGGCCATGCACACCGACAAGAGCAGGTGATCAAATGTTTTCTTATAAAACGTTTAAACAAATATTTCTACCTAACACTATCGCAATTATAGAACATATAACAATATGTATACATATAGTTTATCTCGCACATGATCTGCACCCGCAAAAAAACAAATCATATTCTCCTCCTCCAATAAAGGTAACCAATCTGCAACAATTGACCTGAAGCATTTAGAACAAGAAAGAAACATGAGTTCAAACCCTGATATGGCATATGTACCAAATGTTCAAGAACTGGTAAAGAGTGACCCTTCGCAGGTCCCTGAAAAATTCCTCATAATTAGGTGTTAGAAAATTATATATTTAATTTTTTAATAATTGAATGGAAATTAAATTGTGGGACTTGTGACTTTAAATACATGACTTTTATGAAATGGTATGTATTCATTGGGAATAGTCATATTCTTAATCAAGGAAAAATAAAATATTGGCTTTTTATCACAAATGGTCCTTGACGTTTACGAAATTATCACGAATGGTCCTTGAGGTTTTTTTGTGACACTAATAGTCCTCAACGTTTGGACTTTTTATCACAAATGGTCTTTGCCGTCAAAAATTCTGTTAAGTGTATGATGTGGAAGATAAGTGGAGCCCACATGTACAATCACATCGTGACATGTGGATTAAATAAATAAATAAATATTTTTTTTTTATGAAAATCCATTAAAAAACCATTTAGCCTCTCTCTCTCTCTCTCTCTCTCTCTCTACTCTCTAAATGGTTTTTTTAATGGATTTTCATAAAAAAAATAATATTTATTTATTTATTTAATCCACATGTCACGATGTGATTGTACATGTGGGCTCCACTTATCTTCCACATCATACACTTAACAGAATTTTTGACGGCAAAGACCATTTGTGATAAAAAGTCCAAACGTTGAGGACTATTAGTGTCACAAAAAAACCTCAAGGACCATTCGTGATAATTTCGTAAACGTCAAGGACCATTTGTGATAAAAAGCCTAAAATATTATTTATTTTGTTTGTAAAATAATAATTCTTTTTGTGTTAAGTTGCATTGTTTCATATATGAAAGGTTGCATTATTTCATAGAAATTGAAACATTGCACTTCTTGGCTTATGGTTGCAACATGAAAAGACACATTTGTTAATATTCTTCAGTCACATCTTTTCTGAATAGAGGCCTTGTTGCCTATAAATAGAGAAGATCCTACAACATTTGATTCATCCAATTGTCATCCAACAATAGTATTATTTAGAGCATTCATAGCATTATATTTTTAGAAATATAGTGAGTTAGTAAGAGAGAGTTCATACACAAGTTTGAGTTCGCTTTTCTTGGGGATTGTAGTGCTACTTCAACAAGGCCGATCGTTGTATCCTGGGAGACGTTTGCCAAGCAAATCCTAAAAGCACCTGTGAGGAGGCAATTTCGTCTTAAGGAGATAGAACCAAGTTCTAGACTCGATCATCTGTAAAGTATTCTTAATTTTCCTTGTCATTATTTTCCTGTACTTATTTCGAATTTATAGTGAAGTTTTATTTTCAAAATTCTATAAATATAGCAATTATCTTTAATTTTACCAACATTAGGAATGAAGAAGACGAGCCAAAGAATGATCTTTCTTCCAGGATTCCTATCATTGATCTTTCTTTGCTCTCTCGAGGCCACAAGGAGGAGCTTGACAAACTGGACCAGGCTTGCAAAGAATGGGGATTCTTTCATGTGATCATCCTAACATGTACTAGAAATTGAATATTTTATAATTTATGCTCACCTCGTAGGAGTGACTAAAAAATGATACTGAAATAGCCCAAGGCCTATAATAATTAAGATAATTGGTGTATTATTTTTTATTAGACTTACATTATTTTGTTTATATTGTCAAACTGTGAATGTTGACTGCACAAATTCAGGCATTTTTCATGATGATTGTTTGATGATAGTCTTTGAATCAATGAACACTTTTCTTTT